GCCTCTGTTATTGGTAAAAAAATCAGCTCATTTGCTTGAGCTATAAAGGAGATATTCATTTTTTTTTTGAGTTAAGTGACTTTTGCACCCCCCTGTATTTTCTTTCAGCCATTTATTAGGTTAGGCCTCTTGATGTGAAAAGAACCAGTTCTCCGTGCGATATTGAGAGAAAGCTTCTTGTGTCAGAGAGAACAGCTGGGTCTCTTGTGGATAGTTCATTTGACCTACCAAAAGAGAGAAAACCGTGAAGTGTTCGTAAAATTTTCAGGGAGAAAGCTGTAAGCAAAGAAAAAATTTAGCGAAGGAACCCGCCCCCCTCCCCTCCCCAGCTTCCTGCCGCTAATCGTACGCACTGACAGAATCATTGAAATGATGAGGAAAATTACTTATGAAGTAAGTTTCATCCAATTGGATGAATTGTAATGATACTAGAAAAGTCCAAGATGGTTGGTCTCCATGAATTTTTATGTTCGAGATGTAGAAATTTTACTAGATTACATGCTTATTGCAAAATATTAAAAGAAATATCAAAGGAAATATTTAGTCTTGAGTTTCTTTTCATAAAAATGTCTTATCATTCTTATTATACATTAAAACTTTTAGTTAGCACGTATCGTATCTCTTTATCGTTTTTGTTCATTCTTGAATGCTTTTATTGCAGAAAAGATAAATTCGTTTTCTGGAATTTTTTGTTCATTCTTAGAATGATGAGACTTTTCTATGAGAAAAACTCAAGTCGAAATATTTTCTTTGAAAATCTTGTTAGACGTCTAATACTCAGTGAAAAGGCTATAAGTCATATGACACGATCTGTGAGAAGAAATCATTTTTAAAGTATTGATAATATATATTGGTGAAGAATTATCTTTCTTTCTATCTCAAGATTGGCTTTTAATAAGAAATTAAACAAAAAAATTTGTTTCAAATTTATAATTGTTTATTGAATTTTCATATAGAATTATGCTGAACAGTGTAAATGTGGATCATCATTCAATCAATATTTGAAATTAATTCATATATACAATCGTGTGCTGTCCTTTTTTCATCATCATCATCAACGTGAACAAATTATTATTTGAATTAACAAACAAATTTTCAACTACTCAAAAAGAAAAATACATTTTGAAATTTAATAATGTAAATTTATATACATTAATGTATATCTATTTCTCTTGTCTCATATGAAGATCAACGATTCATGATAATACTTGAAGCTGTGTATAAAATTTGTATTCACAATGTAAATCTTCTTTTTCGTATTGTAATATTTAATATAAATGAGTGTTTATATTAATAGTCATTTTGTCAAATATTATCGTGGACATGATCTACGTAATCGGAATGTAGTTTAATTTTTGTTGTTTTTGAAATAAAATAAGTGATAGTCGATCATTATATAATTGATATTGATTTATTGAAACTTGATGAAAAGTTTTGATTCTGTTCGATAGTCTGAAGTTTTTCTTTTTCTTTTCTCATTATGGAAAGTCTAGATCATTGTATCTTATGCAGGTATTATATTACATGGTCCAAATAACATTTAATTTGTGTATCAATAAGTAAGATACAATTAACTAACCGTTAGTTACCAATAATTTTATCATTATTATTATTATTAATTAACTGTCGTTATTAATCTTTTGCTAAATCCAAATATTATGACATCATAATATGAGAATTTCCATTAGACAAAAAAGAAATTTCAAAAATTAACTAGAAATTATCGGAGTAATTTCGGTAATTTCAGAAACTACTATAGTGATATTAGTATGGATAACATGGGTACATAGCGAAAAGAAAAGTCCACCTCCGATCGAACGAAAAATTTCGGTGATTATCGATAGGCATGTACCGAACGTTTTTGCGTTATTCTCGAGCATTTTCATATCGAAGCTCGAGTTGTGAAATAGAAGGTCGAATTATCAGGCCTAACGTATCAAAAGATAGAGAAAATTTTACTCTATCAAATGAGACATATCTCAGCTCTGTGCAGCAATGCCTTCGATTTTTATGAGAATTTTACAAACCGAGCCCGACTGAGCCTAGGGTCGGGGCTCGGTCAGACTCGGTAGAGACATACTTCTGTAATGCAAATAAAAATTAGAATAACCGCAGCACAGTACTCAGGAATGTCTCATTTTGTAGAGCGATGTTTTGTCTATCTTGTGATAGGTTAGGCCTGATGATTTATCCTTTCATTTCAGAGCTCAAGGTGTTAATATAAAAGTGTTCGAAAGTAACGAAAAAAAGCTCGGTGCATGCCTATCCATATTCATAGTTTTGTTGTTCTTCGAAAGATATTCGTGCCCCCTTTATATACCCTTAGTATGAAAACTTCTAGAACTTTCTCGACTGTTCTAGGAAATTTAAAAAAAACACGCAAAAGATTTCTTGCCAACCCGATACATAGTCTGCGACAGAACCAAAAGGAATTTTTTTGTTTTCTTCTTGCACCAACTAATGCACTTGAATAGATAGAGTCTTAACTACTTTAAAGAAGATAACAATTATGCAACCAAGTACATCATTTTGTAGAGAATTTATGTCTCTACAAGAGTGTATCTTTCAAACAAATATTCGAGTTAAGTTTTCTTATAAAAAATCCGGATTAATGAAAGGTCTGTACAAAAAACTAGTTACAATTAGTAATTAAGACCTCTTTTTTCCTGAACACTTTTAAAAATAAAGGACACCATTCGATTCAGTTTTGTTTTCTCTATCGAATGATATATTTTGATTTTAGTTTCGACTTTCTCAAGACTGAAATCCTAAGGTTTTCTATAAAACCTATGGTGCTTCAGGTATTGGAAAAATGTTAAGGTTCTATCAATATTTTTTCGATTGTAAATTATACCAACGTGTAAAGAAATGTTTTCTCTATCAAATGAGGTATAATTAAATAGATTTTAACGAAAAATAAAAGAGTTATCGAGAAAAAATCGTAGGTGTCCAAATAATTGTTTTGCCTAGGAAATCAAGTGGTTTCTTGAAAACTTTCCAAAATTCATGAAAATCTATTTTTTAATTTTTTTTCTTGTACAATGAAGTAGAGATTCCGGGCTATCGAATGATATAAAGAAAGTCAAGAAAACAATTTTCCTTCATTATGAAATTCGACTTATAAGATATGTATGATGGGGTGTCCAAATAATTATGTTACATATTGTACATATGTTATTCACTATATCTTTTCTTTCGTTCTGTTAAGTATTTTCCTTAGTGGGTTCTCTTCCCAGGTCAAGCAAGCAGACGGTAAGATCTTATATGGTCGTGCGTCTGATCTTGCATGATCTTGTAAGATTAGACGAAAAATCATACGAAAATCGTGGTCTCAGAATTCTTACATCAAGTCGTACCTTAAGATTCTTGACAGATCTTGCTGTTTTGTAAGATATTACTGTAGGATTACAGAAAATCTTATATCAGGATAAGATCTTATAAGAATCTTATAGTACGATTTGATGTAAGATTCGTGAGACCACGATTTTTTTGTACGATTTCACCTGATCGTACAAGACTTGATGTCTAATTTTTTGACCTGGGTTGGTTTTTTTCTTCTTTTCTTTCATGTCTTCACTCAGGTATATTCCAACTGCATCATATCTATCCTTGGTATATTTCATTATCTCAGATATATATATGCTCTACATTTGTGTGGAAAGGGAGTGTGTCTGTTCATAGTATTTGGAATAAGCATCATATACAAAACAACGTATTTATCGGATCCAACAGTCGGTGATGACAAGTCTACCGGTTACAGGTTGGTCTACCGACAGACCAGTCCGTCTGAAATCCGTACCGGCACTGGGCCGAACCTGGCGCTAACCGGTACCGGTACCATCTTTACTATCACATTTTCTGCGTTGCAAATTTGTCAGACTCTACAACATTATGTAATACGTTCGAAAGGAATTCATGACAGGCGAACAAAAGTTATATGCTTGGTTTATTACAAAATACAATCGAATTTTCTGGAAAAATATGGTAATTCGTTTTTGCGAAGTTAACTGGATAAAAATGTGTTGAGTAATACATCACTGACCTTTCAATTCTATAAATCATATGGTGGATGTTGTCGATGGCTGTATATACGATGTATAGTTCAACTGCCAAAACTGGCAAACTTCAGGTTTTAATGGAAATTACCATGTTTTCCATTGAATGTCTGGACAACTATGCGCAAATTTGAACATGTTTTTGAAAAAACACGTAAAACTTAGGAAAATCTTGGGACGAAAGCACTCTAGTATATCGGTGGTTTAATTGAACGTAAGGTACCATTTCTAACTAATTTTCAACGGGTTTTGAATATCACTTTCAGGTAGGTCTTAAAAAATATCACAGACCACCTTGAAACAGTCCTCAAAACGCTCAAGGGATCTTCTTCAAATAGACGTTGCAAAGATATAAGCAATCATTCATAGATAGCCCCTGAAAAGTTATAAAGGTCAACCCTAGATAGTCATTGAAGAGTTATAAGAACCATCCCTGAATAGCCCTTGAAAAGTTATAGGAATCACGCCCGAATGCCGTGTGGACTCAAAATATTATATTTCAACGATAGATCAATGATGCGTTGCTGGTTAGTTTTGTCATCTGAAATCAATTCGATTGTCTCTTCATTTGATGCCATCATCAGCCCTTTTAATCGTGCTTGTTTGAGCCTGCAGTTGGTTTTTGCGGCTTGGCATATTATAATTCTAGAATAAATGCATTAGCAGCTAAACGAGCTAATGGTTTCATTATTAATTACATTCTCTATTGAATTTATTTTTGCTACACTTAACAAATGATGGTCCGGATCGATTTCTAGTTTAACAGAAGAATTATGCTCGAATGGAATTGTTCTCTCATTTGTAAGAGCATAAACAATAAGACGATCATTAAGATAAACAGGAGGCAATTGAGATGGAGCACTTGGAACATTAACTTCGAGTTCCCATTGAAAATGAACATTAATGATACATCGCTGAAGAACGTTTTGTAATTGTTCTCCAATATATCATCAATACTTGCATTAGATGAAATAAAAGCAAATCGATCATTAGTCGATCAAGAAAGACCTTTGACAAGTGATCGAGTTGGTGATTTTCTCAAACCAAATGAATCTATACGAGTAGATAAAGCAATTGAAGGACATAAATCAAGAAATTCTGTAACATTTGAAATTTTTCCATCTGTAAGAAGAAATATGTGACGAGCAGGACTTTGATTTGGTGAATGATATTTAATCCATTCAAGTGGTTTTAAATATAAATATATACATTAAAAAGAGATCTAAATATTCATCAATTCAGTACCACCTAAAGCTGCTTTCATTCCATTGATAAGTTGTTCTGCTATTCGAGCATTTTCTTTGTTATATATCACACTTATATCAGTGAAAATACTTTTTTATTGAGAACCAAATCGAATAATATTGAAATGACAATCAAGTGGTAAACTTTTAAGAAAAAAGTATGATAGTTTGACAAGGTAATTCAATTTTATTTTCATCGTGCATTGATCAACTACAGAAGTAAATCAACCATGCAAGTCAAAACAGAAAAAGTTGACATCGATGAAAAAAAATCAAGAAAAAATGTTTGGTCATAGCATAAAATGTTAATGCATGTGTATGTGTGTTTGTAACAAGAAAAAGATAACAGGTATATGTTTGTGTTGAATAGTAAATAGTTTTAGAATAAAAAAAGACACAGAGCAAAATAAACAAACACAAATAACATACACGCACGCAATAACGATAATCATCATAAACGTTCATTATCTTGTGTTTTATGTATTATAATATCGTAATTTTTATCAATTGCTGTTGGCTGTTGAGCATTTTCAGAAGATTTGTTGATTAATGTAACAGTAAGTTGTGTTGGTTTTTTGTCAATAAACTTCAACTTTAGCATCCAACACGATACAATTAGAAGTATTACTATTAATACAGTTTCAAAAATCTATAATATATATATTTATTTATTTTTTTACATGATGAGATATTACTTACCCCTAAATAAATCATTGAGTATTGTTTATATATATCACCAATGCAAAAAATTTGATACCGACATGAAGAACCATGCAACACAGCACCATATTCTTACCCATTGTTCTTTGGTCAAGGATAGTTTCATATTGCGGATGGACCTATCCTGATCAAAGAACAATGAGTAAGTTCGAAAAGATGCTCGCACCATGTATATGATGAAAACGGTGAATGAGCATCCAATTTTAATCTTGTTAATACAAATGTGTATTTTACTATCGATAATAATATCCAATATCCAAACAATAATGATGCAGATCTTAAAAAAATTCACAAAAAAATTCATCTTTTTTATTTATCCTAGTCATATTTACATATTCCAAAACTTTTATTTTAAGTTATTTAATTGCATTATTCAATGTCATTGAAATTCGTTTCATAATTTTTTTAACCATATCACCCCCGAGACCACCATGACGTGGAACCTCGACGAACATTTCATCTTTTTTTTTAATATCTCGTGTATCAGATGTTGTACTCTCTTTTTGTGACACAAGAAGTAAAACATCTAAATATATAGAGTGAAATTGAAGAAGATATTTCTCTCATTTAAACAAACCTTTAAGAGAATTTTTTATTGATTTACAAGAAGGTTGTTTTGAACGACAATCAGATGATTCATCTTTTACTGGCGGAATAACAATTATAAGATTTGAATCTATATAAATAAATGCAAATAAACGAAGATATTTATCATTTAAACAAACCATGAATATCATCAGCAAGTTGTTTTCGAGAAATTGGTTTAGAACGAGATGCCGATGATTCATCTTTTTCTCGTGGACTAACAATTAAAATATTTGAACCTATAAATAAATTTAAATTAACGAAGATATTTATAATTTAAACAAACCATCAACACCAGTAGTAACTTGTTCTCGAGAAGTTTGATTAAAATGAAGATCGGATGACATTATTCGACAATCAGCAAGTGGATAAGATAAACGAACTGAATGGACACAATAAGATCAAGTTATATATACACTTGGTAATTAAAAGACGTTGGATTGTTCATTCTTTATTCAATAGAATTAAACATATACAACTACATGGCATATGAATCGAGACTCGTGTGCAAATCATGATCGTAAATCTATTCGTTAATATTTCATTCGTAAAGAATAAAACAACATTATCAACATTTTTCATTTTACTAATCAATCAAAATGGACTTTAAGAATTTATCCACATCTAGAGGTGTAAGCCGTTAGGCTGATCGGCGGCGGCGCGAGTGTTTTAAATTTTTTTTTAAATGCTCGGCGACGCAGATTTGATATTCTAAGGTTGCACAGCGGCGGCTCGAAAATTTTAAAATTTCGAATACCATCGGCGGCGCGGCGGCTGTAATTAAAGTGTCTCAGCGGCGGCGGCTTGAAGTTTAAAAAGTACTACATTATCATAAAGAAATTATTCTATGACGTTGTCTACACTAGGAGGATAATGCAGTATTCAGTTCGTATTAAATCAATTCGTGTCTACATTTGTCAGTTAATGCATCAATCAGAATCCTAGACTTTGAAATGAATCGTAGTTTTTGCTCACTTCAATCATAGAGGAATCGCCCATTGAAAACTGCGTCAGTCTCATTAGAAAATTCAATGAGACTTTGATTGGTGCATCAACTTTAATGCGATTCTGAATAGTGCAATAAATTTAATGCACGTTTTAAAAGTGTTTTAAATGTTTATT